GAAGTTTAACAAAGACAAATATAAGGTCTTGCACCTGGGAAAACATAATCCAGGAGTGCAGCACAGGCTGGGACCTACCTGGCTGGAGAGCAGCTCTGTGGAAAAGGGAACTGGGGGTCCCAGTGGACAACAAGCTCAGCATGAGCGAACAGTGTGCTGCTGCAGCAAAGGCGGCCAACAGAATGCTGGGTTGCATCAACAAGGGCATCACCAGCAGAGATAAAGCCATTATCCCACTCTACTCAGCGCTTGTCAGGCCACACCTGGAATACTGTGTTCGGTTTTGGTCCCTGCTGTACAAAAAAGATGTGGACAGGCTGGAGAGGGTCCAGAGAAGGGCCACAAAGATGATCAAAGGACTGGGAAGCCTGCTCTGTGAGGAAAGGCTGAGAGACCTGGCTTTGTTCAGCCTTGAGAAAAGAAGGCTTAGGGGAGACCTTATCACCATGTTGCAGTATTTAAAGAGTGGCTACAAAGAAGATGGAGATTACCTTTTTACAAGGAATCACATTGAAAAGACGAGGGGTAAAGGGTACAAGTTACTGCTGGGGAGATTCTGATTGGACACAAGAGGAAAATTTTTCACAATGAGAACAATCAGCCACTGGAACAATCTCCCCAGGGAAGTGGTGGATTCCCCAACATTGGACACTTTTAAGATGTGGCTGGTCTAGACCATGCTTTTGCCATGAAAGGTTGCACCAGATGATACTTGAGGTCCCTTCCAACCTGGTATTCTATGATTCAGTAAAAGCGAGTCATGTTTATTCCCATCCCTTTTTTGGGTGGCTGTCTGGTGAACCAGATAATGGAATCAACATGGCTCAAACTCACCCTTTTCCTTCTCATTTTAACTCTGCTCAGTTTCCTAATCTGGTTCAACCATGCAGCTGCACAAGCCCTTGTACAGCGATTTCGGACGGTTGTGCACATGTGCCTCGGAAGAGGCGGGACTGCAGCAGTAGCTCATATAGACTTAGCTCAGCTTAGGCTGCTGTGGAACACAGTCTAAGTTAACAGAAAACCAACCTGACAATAAAGTAAGTGGCTTTCTGTTGGATTAGTGGATAAACCAACTCAGCTGTGGGTCTGATGATCACTGAAGCAGATGAGGGCAAAATAAAACAGAGGGGAATGCAGGAAGGGGACTGAAGCAGTCTGCAACTAGGCTGGCTTAGGTCGCTGAGGAATAGCAACTTCAGCAGTTGTGAAATTATGCTTTTGGTTACCTTAGAGCTCAGACTAAATAGTTCCCTCCTCCCCCAATTCAAAATGAAAACTCCTCATACAGTCTGAGAGGTAACCAACTCTGTCCAAGGTGTCTTCATGTAAGTAGAAGTTCATCCAATTTTAATTATCTTGTGTGTTGTTGATTCTGTCACTATCAGTTAGAATAGTAGCTACTTCAGAATGCAAATAAAGGCAACCTTTGAGCAGGTGAATTTGTTGTTGGGGGGATGGGGGAGGTCGAGGATCGGTTGTTTTTTAAATCATAACCCAAATGGAGTATTTGTTTTGAAAGAAATACTACATAGCCTCCCAGTGTAAAGACAATTTGCCAGCTGTAGTGCTGGATCCTAAATGTAACACATTTAATTATATCCTGAGAACTTTATAGGATTTTCCTTCATTCCCATCATCAGGAAGTTAGAAGTGATGAGCAGGGCTCAGAGGAAACCTGTAATAGCTACAGTTTCGCTATACTGTCAGTATGTTTTTTCATTCATTTAATTCTAAAAATGGGTAGCCAAAGTTAATACGGTTCTTGATTCTCTTGCAACAGAAGTGTCTTCATAAATTTTTTCAGGTAATTGCTTCCTCCTCCCATTGATATTCATTAGCTCCATTCTACTTGCACTAATATTCTTCCCTTCCCATTAGTAAATCAATTCCTAACTCAATTTTCTTTGCAATTTTTTTCCCCAAATGAAGTTGCTCAAAATAATTCAACTTAAGTAAATATTTTCCTTTGGTTGCAAATCAAATATTTTAAGGCTGAAACAGAGACAGGGTGCACAAACCTTCTGAGCAGAATGTACCTCAATCTGTATGACTGGTGAGAAGATACTAGATTTTGTTAACAAGCAAAAGGTCTTACAAAGATTGAAGTTCTTCAGCTCCACTAGTGTCCTGTCAGAAGCACACCAGAAATATACTGAATTATGGCTGTTCAAACCAGTTTCATAGTAATTTACTAAGTACTGGCCTCAGAAATAACACTGCTAGTGCTGCAAATGTCACATTTACTCTCTTTAATGAAGAACAATGTAGGAGGGTTGACTCTTAAACCATTACCTAAAATTTGCTCATGAACCTCCAGCTATTCAAGCCGTGCTTATGTATAAAATAGGAAATGACACTGTAACTAAAGTAACATTACCTTTTTGCTCTGTTGTGTTCCAGTACAGCAGTTGTGTGCTGTTGTAATAGCAGTCTTCATTTTAATCTTTGCAGGGAGTTTCAAAGAGACTGAAGCAGCAGTTGACCATTAAAGCAAAGACACGAGTAGAAAGGAGGAGAGATACAGCAGCTACCTCTTAAAGATATGGTTACCAGATAAACTGGAATTTTAAACCCGATTTTTGCTGCTTCGTTCTGTGGTTTATCGCTGTAGAACAGTGTAATTGTACTTTAGATGGGGAAAAGAAATAGAATTTTCTTACAAAATTCTGCATATGAAAATACTGCAAAAAATTGTCCGAGTTGTTCTTCAGTTTTCTTTTCTCCTTCATCCATCAAGATCTTGTAGAAAACTTTGAGGTCAGTCTTGGTTTTGTTTTTAAATCTAGTTTTGTTAAAGGCATATCTCTATGATAGTTATTTTGTTTTATAAGACTAAAACTCCACATCTAAGGTATACCCAAGGGATACGCAGATATAAAACCTGACATTTTTGAGAATATATCTCCCCTGTTTTTGCCTAGACTGGAAGGACAAATTATTTGAATCTCTGTAGCCTTAGGGAAAAGGTGTAAAAGGGCATCAGAAGTTCATGTAGTTCATTTTTGATGTTCTCAAAAGCAGGATCAACTACATTTATATCTCTCATTATGTTTGGCCATTTTTTAAATTACTAGAAAGTTTGCAGTCTCTTACTTTGTTTCACTATGCTTATTGCGAGAGGATTTCATTTAATATCTAACCTAATCTTCCTTGATGCAGGAGGAATTTACTGTCTGTAGTGAACGTAGAAAAACTAATTTCCTCCATCTCCATAATTACTTCTTAAAACACTTGGATATTCTCGGTCTAGTCCTTTCTGTCAAAAAAAGAAAAACCCCAAACAAACCAACCAACCAACCAAAACCCAAGAAACTCACACCACACCAAACAGAGCACCTTTTCTTTAAAAAAAAAACACTAAGTAATATTTTTTAGATTGGTCATCTTTGGGCTTTCTTGTCAGGTTTACATCCTCCTTCAACTGTGACATCGAGGAGGTACCGCTTCAAATCAGGCCTCGTCAGCCATCAGTAAATCCCATTGATTTCTTCATGTTTCTTACGGGTAACATTCCTTTCTTTTATATCCCAGTTAGTCTTTTTCCTTCATCCAATAATATTCAGTACAGCTTTAACTCACCTTTCACAGTGTATTATTGTAGTGTGATATAATTTTTCTAACCACATATGCATATGCCCTATAATTTTGTTTTTGTTCCACATTTTCATCAGCAAATTACCTAGTTAAAAAGTCTCTTCCTCTTTTTTTGATGTGCTCCTTTTTTGAGCAGATAGAAGTTAGGACAGTGTCATAGATCAAATGATCTAAATAGTTAAAGGTGACATAGCGGTGCAAATAGTATTTGGGGAGAAGCACGGATTTGGAGATGATACAAGTGTAACATTGCCTGTTTCTCTGACCCTCGCTCCCAGAGGTGCAGTGCTTAGGAGACAAAATGGTCCTTCAAACAGCTCATTGTAAAAATTAATGTGCAAGTCTCATATGATGAAGAAAAGGTTGCTTACAGTTTTGTTCCAAAATTTGACTAAAAAGTTTAGAAATTGTTATGCTGTGCTTTTTCTGTATTTCTGGGATTATGCAGCAGAACTGTTTCCATATGCCTATATATTCATTCTTAGTGCTGCAATGCTTTAGTTTTTAATAATAAAAGTTACTTTTAATTACTGAACTTTCTAAAAAGGAAAACCTGGATTTTGTAATATCCAAGTTTACCAGCATTGCGTTAAACTTAAGATAGGTCCATTTCTAGATTGAAATAAATATTCAGATAAGCATGAAACATGAGGTTTTCATCTCCCGAATGTCATGTGTGTATATTTTTATTCATAACATTTGTATTAGCAGCTGGTCATAAAATACTTGATGGGAATGCTTAGAAGGTTTTATATTTAAAAATCACTACTCCTACTAATTCTTACTGTGAATCACCTTTTAAGACGGCTCTCAAAAGCTAAAGGTGTAGATGTTTCTCCTAATGCTGTGTTTCTCCGTGGTTAAGTTGGACGGCAGCTGGGTAATTCTTGGCAACCTCACTGAAGGAAAGACTAAGCTTTTGGCTTTTTCAGGGAAGGGGGGGGGGGGGGGG